ACAGAATGGCTTCGTCATCTTGATCATTATCACTCAGAATTTCAGCGATAAAACCCCAGAAGTCCCAACGTTCACCTTCGTCTGGACAGAATGTTGAATACGAATAGAGTGCTGGGGATACTGAGGCCTCTATATTCGCTAAATCCTCTTCGTCGATTTCAAGCACTTCTTGCGGGGGTGACAGCGCCGAGCTATCTTGGAATTTGGCTGCGTCCACAGTCTCCATTCCACGATTGCGAGTACGAAACTGAGCCGAGTTCCACCGATTCTTGACAGCGTTGTCCGTGCGTCCAGGCAAACTAGCAGCAATCCGCGACCACGCATTTCCAAAGTTTCTCTGCAAGGTTGCCAAAGTTGCGTCTTCTGTAGCTGTCCAAGCTCCGCGGTTAATAGAAGGGTCTAATTGGTTACACCATCGATCACGGCATTGCTTCGCAGTCCGACCAGGTAAATAAGAAGCTACGATGGACCACTGACTCGCTCCATGGCAACCTACCGTGGAACGTAACGCTTTGTCTTCTAATGCCCGCCACGACCGTCGGTTCAACGGGGTCGACCGATTCTGGAGCTCTTCCCAGCGCTTCGAACACGCGGCTTCGGATCGATTTGGGATTATCGCAGCAATGAAGTCCCATCGGCGTACCCCATGGCAGCCTATAGCAGTTCGAAGCAATTCATCCTAGGCCAGAACTAAGTAATTAATGCAATCGCAATTCCACAACTAAATCTGCGTACTTCATGGGGAGTCCATGCAGAAGATTCCATCTCGACAAGTGACCATGAATTTACGCAATGGCCTCACAATGATATCCAATTTTTCGTAAAAGAAACGCTGCGGCATACTGCGCGGTCACTGTCGTATATGGGAGCGGCAGTTAGCTCGTCGCATGGGCCCATAACAGCTTCGCTACGTTTTGGTGCAATCTCGGTGAACGAGATTTCTTGCGACGAGGTTCCTCCAATGCGGCTTCTAGTTTATGTGCTTAAAAGAACCCAAATGAAGCAGTCGACACCTTGCTTCAAGTAATTCTTCTGTTTGAATGCTGCATAGACAGATCCCCAAAACTGACACAGCCACGCGACCGCAACCTGTTGTTCCATAACGATCGGTCGTCTCGAATGTTCGGTGAACGCTCACTAGGTTGGCAATGGTGTTAACGCTTCTCGACATTTCTGTGACTAGCATGTGGCCATGGTAAAATAACCAGTGCTTCGAGTTGACGAGCAGCGAGCGATGACGTATTATAATATATTCTCGAGCTCAAAGGACTTGAAAGTACACACAGGGCCTTTGAACCATAATTACGCGTGACTGGCCATGCTATCAAGTACAGACACGAGCAATTTCTATTTGATGCTCCGGACCATCGCGTTAGGTTTCTTACTGAGGATCACAGCTTTCCCATCGGAGATTTCCAACATACAGTGAATGATGCGCGCATTTAAAGAGATTACCGAAAGATAATGTTGTTTTATCGTGTCAAATTCAGTATGGTGACATTTTAGAAGAGCAAAGGACACTAACGCCGTGGCTGGCACGGGGAAGCTCTGAAATTTCAAATATTAATTGTGTTTATAAATATAACGCATTTTGTTTTTAATTCATAATCGCCACCAGAAGACAAAAAGTCTGTATTTGAACGAATTTTGATCCAGCGGTCTGTATTCGCTGGCAATTTTAGCTTCATCTGTAAATCGCAGTATGAATTGCACTAAAGTGTTTGATGCAATTAGGATTTGGATTGCAGGGTTCACGCTGTATGTATTGCAATATAAATTTCAAGCAATATAACATTTAAAAGTAAAGATATACACGATCCCACCCAAAGAGGGCAGTCCATTCCCCCTCAAGACAAGCTCCATCGGATCCTGCACTCGGCGCCTGCGCAACGCTTGTATCTGGTATTGATATTTAATTGCACGCCTTAGCCCTAGCTCGAAGTCCTAGGAACATACTGGTGCTGTTCAGATTGTTCATTACGCTCGGCCATTTTTTTTTTTGGCTCCGAATATTCACGCTTGCTATCCGCATATCCTACTGACGATATTGGAGAACTATTAGAGCCACTAGACAAAAATGCTAACCCCGCTAGACAGTACCAAAACAAATGACACATGTGTTGGTAGCAGTAGATAAATAGATTACGCCTTCTCGCACTTGAACTGTCAGTCAAGCATCTCGCTCCAATTCGCCGAAGATCCTTGGGTGCTGTCACAATGAAAGCTCACAAAATACCTGCTGTAAAGGATTTCACTGCTGAGTTTGGCAAGAAGACGTTACGTGCAGGCGACTATACATCGTACCATTCAGCAGGCTATGAGGATACAG